CGACTGGCAGTTATTTCTCCACCATTCATTGCTTTCAACTGGGCCATTAAAAATATATCTTGTTCGGATCTAGAGAGGGCTTGAAACGCTTCACGTAATTCGGCAAACGTTTTTTTTGGAATCACTCTCGAGCAACCACAATTGCAACCTATCTCTAAAAAACGCATTGTCTTTTTCATATACGGGTAATCCTATTATATAATTTTATCACTTAGTCATTTCTAGGATCATATAGATAGCATATATACGATGGCTAGGGATCTGATTGCTCAGCTTGTATAAGTTCAAAACCGGTTTACAATATAATAAAACTTATCGTTAATATTAATCAACTTATAGTTAAGGATTCCCGTCAAGCAGATTTTATTGCACATTTCTCCATTCAGCTTAAAATGCTATCCTGTAATCTAAATCTAACAATTGGCGCTACATGTTATATGCTGTATGTATATATCACTACCTTCAAAGTCATATAAAATCAGCATTTATGTCATATATAATGCTCAGGTCATTACATAGACTGCAAAATGAATGAGCAGATAAAACCAGTGAGATTGAATTTCATATTAAGATACAAGGTATATAATAAACTTTAAGTGGACAAACTTGGCTTAATTTATAATTACCTCTTGTGCATGTGACTCATCATTTTCCTACACAATGTAAATCCACCCATTTCATATTCATCCCAAGCAGTCAGTTGATCATTATTACTATAATATTATGTTAAAAGAGGAATGATTCAGTATTAGATAGTAATATTTAATGTACTACAAATTATTTGTTTATACTAATACAGCATCTAATCACCAAAATTGTGAATACTGATACACTGTGACTATTACTTAAAACATCATATCATTGTCAGAACATCATCTTGTACTACCACCCTACAGGGAAACCATTGACGGTAGATGAGGGGCACATGAGGACGAAATTGGGCAAGCTTTTTTGTTATCTTATGTGCCTCATACTCTAATGGTGTCATCTCCTCTGCAAAATCATCAAGGTTACCTACATCATTATCAATATCAATATCTTCAACTGCTCTATATTCTAACTCAGCTCTTCTTTCAAATAAAGGAAATGTCTGTTGGATTTCCTCATTTTTTTTCTTGAGCTAATAATTCAGGGTTTAAAATGAAACATGCAAAAGTGGCTGCCTGATATGCATTGGAAAATCCAGTACTAAAAATTGTAGGTGAAACTGAAGAGGTTTGTTTACTAATCCAAAAGAAGCTAAAAGCACTGAAATCAGTTAGGATTGCCACAGGCCTCCTGGAAGAGAGTACATTTGCAGCAATAAGTTCTGCAATTGCCTGATTTGTGTTTGCTTCTGTAACAGTCTGTAACCAAAAGGTATAGTAATAGTATGGCATTAACTGTTTGTATTTACCTGTTACTACTGATAACCATTAAAGACAGGTATTTACCTTTTTCACTTCTACCACAAGCTCAATCGCACATTTTCTGAGCATGTCAATGGTTTTTGTATGCACAATTACATCAGCTGTGCCACGCAGGTGAGGAGCATCAAAGTAGGATTTGTTTTGACTTATATTCAATACAACATGATTCTTAAGATATTCAAGTCCGAGAAAGTTGGTGCAAATGTAATCAGTGTAAGCTCTTGAGTGCCAGTCTTCCATATGGCTATTATCCCACACAAACTGTTCAGGTTCAAAACCAATTGTAGAAAGCTCGTTGAATGATACAAGTTGTGTTGCGGTTTTGATATTATACATTTCTACGAGTTTCAACCGCTTTGTACTGTTCATAGATGACATGGAAAATGTGTTTGGTTCTTCCAGCCGACGTTTCATCATGTTGACATTCGCCAAAATGTCCTTAAGCATGCCTAATAGTATCATATCAAATTTAGCTCGTTAAACCCAACACTGTTCCTTTCGACAAATGCGGAATAATAGAACTTACTGTCATTCACTATATAGATAGATAGAAAGAAAGAAAACGAAATGTTAAAAGTCAAATGCTGAAACGTTAATACAATTCTACTCATAAAACGGTCCTACTATCCTACTCTACCCTATGTACACACTACTCTATGTCCCCAACGCCCGAGTCACAAAGTCGTTACCCCTAAGTCGTGTTGCAGCCATAACTTACCAGGCTCGCTTGCAGAAAAATTTTTCAATAGGTCAGCCTTCGTTTCATCATACTCCTTCTTTTCAATGAGGCCTTCGTCATAAGAAGCCTTCAGTTCCCGAAGACGGTTTTGCAGGCTCATTTTCTGAGAACTTTTTCCGTCTGACAAAGTGAAGTGTTTGTGAGATACTTTACGAAAACCTTTTCTGTTCGCGCGATGTGATCTAATATACCAATGCCGATCAGTGGCTTAATCAATGACGTATTAATAGGAACTTTCTAGACTTCACAATGTAACTATTGTTCCCCTATATGCAGAAGGTGACCAATGATAATCAATGCGCAGAAATTGTTAACATGACGAATAAACGAGCAGTTTTTTACTATATCAGGAACGAAAACCAGTTTTGTTTTTTACAATAATTGATACACATACTTCGTCATCTTGACTTCATTATGTCTTTAAAAAACAAAGTAGATATTTTTGAAGATTCACCAGAGCAATTGCATGGGAGGAAATACTCGGACCCAAAGCCATTGATGAGTACCCCTATACTTTGGTCGCGACTAGTGAATCTATGCTACATATTATTATTACTACTATTAACACCATCATTTTCCTTCTCCTTTTCTTTATCAACCCATTTTTTAAGTGCTTCGATCGTTTTTCTTGATCAAGGTATTCCTGGAGAGTTTGGGTATCATTGATTTTAAAAATGTATGGAGCAATTTTTTCTCCTTGCTCTTTCTTTAGAATACTTCTAATGGTGCTGTAATTCTTGGGTTCCATGGTGGA